AGCAGGGCCTTGGTGGCACAGGCCTTCTTGGTGGGGTCACTCCAAAGATACCTGACCTCCGCGAAAATATACTCTCCATCTGCCCCAAAGAGTCAGGCTGCAAATAACCTCGGTGAGCAAGTTCAGCAAAAGGCTGTCGGGAGAGCAATAACTTTGTTAGATTCACCTTAGCACAGCTGGAAAAAATAAAGAACACAGACAAGCTTTCAGGCACATAACCCCTAAGCTCAGCCCTTTGTTCAGTCCTGTCTGTCAATTTAATGAGAGATATCAGCTTTCTCTATAGACCGTGTCTCTTGCATAGCCTTAAACCCTCCCAGTTAAAACACCGCCCTGGCAAATCAATCCAAGATGCTTACGCCTCTTTGATCAGCACAGCAGGTAATAACTCACTGATGGAAATGTGTTTGCTTCTGTGGCTTTAATAGGCAATAGAAACAGCAAAAGACAACCCTCTTGTCCTGAACCGCCTGGCAAAAATCTTCCACTTCCTGGGCAAGCAGGAGATGGCCAAAGGGATATGCAACTTGGCACTGGATGTCCTAGAGGATCCAGAGCTCAACTGGCAGGCGTACTCCATCCGGGCACAGGTAGGTCACTGCCTCCAAACCTGCCCCTCACACCAATTGTGGTTTGGCCAGAGATACAGTGACGGTGTCTGGAACAGGGCCTGTGCTTGGCAACCCCCATCAACCACTCCATTAAATCTACAAGACTCTTCCAGGAGTCCCCACATCTAGGTTTCTGCGGTCCTGGCAGCTCTGGCCGCCTGATTTCTGGAGCTGCAAGGAGATGCATCCTCCTGCCTGCCAGCACTGGAAATGCGTGCAATCCATGGAGAGCAGGAAAAAAGGCTCTTAAAGGTCTGGTTCCTCTTGCTGAAGAAGTCCCTAAGCCAGCCAGGAGGGAGTAGCGCACAAGGCTTACTCAATATATGCCCTACTTTTATCTTCTGTCATGTATCTGCTAGACATTAGCGTCAAGGACAGGATACAGAGTTAGATGGGTCCCCGGTGTGATCCAGGACAACCTTTCTCATAAGTTCTCCAACACTGGGTCAGCCCAGATTGCACACACCTCCACAAATCCCACCCAGTGCAGTCATGAGAACGTCCATCTCCTGACCACACGCTGGTGAGCAACGCTGGCTCAAGACACATCGTGCCTGACACACCCAGGGCACCTGGGCAGCTTTCCAGGTGCCAAATGTCTGCTCTTGGGCTCCTGGCTGTCCTCTAACACCATGCACTGCCAGCATGGGGGCTGCTGCCTGGAATCGCATTTATGTCTTGTGCTGAACAGGTAGAAACACATATGGGTTACACCTAAGCTGCACATGGGGCTAATTCAGAATATTAGTCAATAGGCCTTTGCTTTGAGAAGCTGTCTTTCCCAATGAGGCAAAAGGCAAAGACGTGCAAGTGTAAATTGGGTTCTCAGGGCACCCCGTGAGGAGGACAAGCACAGTTTGTGAGCAGTCCAAGGGATGAGTAGATCCTCTTCCAAAGAAGACTCAGTCCTGCTCTGGTCTGTGAGATGGCCACTGCGTTTCACCACAGAGAGTGAATTTGTGTTGCTTACTTAATCGTGGCAAGAAACACCTAGGAAGAAGTAATTCCCTGATAAAATAGCAAAGGCTGGTCTGGCAGTGAAGTCACCACCTACAGCCAGGAAATCTGGGCCAAATCCTGGCTCTGGCACAGAGCTGCTGAGGGACTTCCCTCAGGTGTTTCTGGGTGGATTTACATGATGCTGAGTCACTTTGCAGAACAGACTCAAACAGTCAGTTAATGACCTTAGTGCTCCTATGTCCGTCAGGAGCATCAACAGTGGGCCCTTTAATCCCTTGACTTTCCCAATTCCAGACCTCTATAAACAGGAGTGCCCATTAATGTACATTTGCCATTAAAGAAGAACCATGAAGATTTCCTCAAAATTCATTTTTAAACAAAGTAAGAACTCATTCTTGCTTTCTTGTATTTAAAAAGGATTACTTAACTCCTCATGAAATGAGGCTCACTGAAGTGAAATCTCCTGCTGTAGTGGAGTACTTCAATATGTGCTTAGATCTGTTCTTCAGAGACTTTTAATTTCCTTTGAGCTTCAGCTACAAGTAGGAGGCTGAAAAGCGCAGCATCAAGGAGGTCACTGGTCACCAGGTGATATCTATCTAATAGCTTGGACTTGAGAAAGCCGAAATAAGACAAAAGCTTTTTTATTTCTAAGCTCTTATTCAGCGACACTCCCCTAACAGCCAAGCAGTTCAACCACTGAACACTTTAGGGCAACCTGCTCCCCATGTCAGCGGTCCTGAGTTGGAAGGGGGAGCAAATGACTATAACAGCCATCATGGGCATGCAGATAGCAGTGTTGCTCTGAGCTAGCTGCTTTCAAGGACCTCACGTTTACCAAGAACCGAATTTACAGCTGAGGTAGACAGGATGAGCAATATCCCAAGGGCCTGCACCACGTTCCCCACACAGTGCTGCTAACCACGAGTCAGCCCAGGGCACGCTTTAGATACTGGGATGCTAGCACTGGGCATGGTGGCCTGACTGGTGAAACTGAGCAGAGCTGTGGTATTGTGGACTGGCTGAGGAGCTCACCCGATGCGTGGTGGCATTTTGTACTCACGTTATTACTTGTTAGTGCCTGCCTCATCACTCATGCATCCATGCTCAGCCAAGCACTACAACAAGCTGATGAGTTTCCTCTGGTCTCCAGATCTACATGAAGCTGTACCTGCAAGATCTGGAGCGTGCCAAGATGGGACTGGCCCCTGCAGCTGACAGGAGAAAGCTTACATATGCTAAAAATGACCTCGAGAAGATCCTCAAGGTTTGTCCGAGCCTGAGGACCAACCTGGACATGGGCCAGGTGAGGATGACCACAGCATACCCCCAAAGAGATCCCAGACAGCTCTTTGCAGTGCCTCCAAGTGTTCATTAACTCTCAGCTGTAAAGACAGACCACAAAGCTGAGGGCTAAGTTTACCACTCTTTGGATATATCTCTACCAATATGTCTGAGTTGGCCACAGTCATCCTCCCCCAGCCTAAGCCATATGAACCCACACCAGAGCCACCTCCTCTTTGCACCTCATTTCCAACGGCAGCTCCTTGAGGAACTGACCCTTGGCTGCCTTTGTCTCCTGTTGGGCTCAGCTCTAGGTGGTGCAATCAAGGGAGATGGTGGGGTGCAGTAGTGCCGACTACAGAAATGGACAACTGACAGATTGCTATGCTTAATGTTGGCCTTAGCCAGCCAAAGGAAATTCAGAGAGCTTACAGGAAGTGAAGAGCCACCTGAAGCCAGGTAGTGGAAGACATTAGACACAGAATGGGAGTAGGGCTGACCTTAGTAAGGAATGTCACCGTCAGAGGCAGCTGTTGATCTGTGTTTTCTCCTGACAGCCCCATTTTGTCCTCCACCCCTCCAGGTTTACTATTACATGAGCGTGGATGCCGTGCAAGAACTGTTCCTGGTGGATGAAACCGCACTGAACAATGCCTTGGCATTCTTGGCCAAAGCCACGGAGTTTGACCTGGGCGAGACCATACCTGAATTACAGCTGTTCAGGGGCAAATGCCTGTGGCTTAAGAATGAGGAAACACAAGCCATCGCGTGCTTCAAGCGGGCAATCGAGCTGGACAATGTGGGCTCCACTGAGAGCTTGCAGTGCCTGCTGGAGACACTGCTCAGGCTCTTCAGTCAGCGGAGGATGAACAGGGACACGCTAATGCAGGAGGTGGAGCTGTGGGTTAAGGCGGCCAAGGAGAAATTCCCCCGGCAGCGTGTGCAGCAGGAGCTGAGGGCGGTCTACCGCAACCACCCGCTGGAGGTAATGGAGCTCTCCAAAGCCATGATTGCCCGGGGCAGGACGGAGCTGGTGAAGCTGCTGTTGGAGACGATGAAGACCAGTCCTACCAAGGCCAAGACACTGTCCCTCGGAGCAGCCGGGGACGGCAGCAGAACCGGCAAGGCGGGTGTCTCTCCCAGGAGCTGTCGGGACCCTTCTAGTTTTCTAAAACTGTAATTAAAAATAAAAATAAAAAATAGAAAAACGCCTGGTGAGGGCCTTGACCTTGCTCAGCCGCCTCCCGGCGCCGGTGGCCTTCCACAGCCACCCTCCGGCCGCGGCCGCTACCCCGGACGGGCAGACCACGTCCCCGGCAGGCGGCAGGGCGGGAGGC